CCCCAAAACCCCAAAACCCCAAAACCCCAGATGGTCCACCTCCAATTGAATTATCTTCTTTCAATGTAAATATTGGAGTTCCATTCTGACACAATCTTCTCAAGTTTATCATTGTTTCCATCTTTGTAGCCTCCGTATTCTCTCAGATTCTTTCTGATTGATGGAGACTGTATGATGGTGGCTAGCCAGTGGTTTTTATCTTCCATTCCGTCTTGGAGGATCCTGTTGATCTTGAACTCAATAGAAGGGTCGACTCTGAAATCAGTTGTAGCTCCAGGAACATCAGATACAAGTAGCCAAACTTCTTTAACATGATGGAATGCATGCAAGAGAGCCTATCAACTGTCAGACTTAAGCCAAGAGTTTGAAGAAAATATTAAATACTTACGTTTATGTCTTTGGCTGAGAGGCAGGGAACTATACGCTCATTAGACTACAAGATCCTGGTATTATACTCTACATGCGAGGCCAAAATAAAGAAAGTGATGCTTATGGAGCTCAATACGATATAATTTCTGAAGTTTGGATGCCAACCTGTAAGTTCGAACCAACCTCTGTTCAAACACAGATTCAAAAAGTGTATAAATGATGAGCAAGAATGAAGGAGGCATACCTTCGATGCAGGGTCTTCTTCTAATAAACCTTGCCACTCTGCAGATGTTGATGATGCCTCTCCTTGGGATGCTGCTCCCCCTATTGGAGTTGTCAGACTCCGACCAGAAAGTTGGCAATTAAGTGTTAGCTCTTACGTGTTCTTTTCTGAAGAATCTGTATGACTATAAAAATTGTCATGTGAAATGTATAACTCATCGAATCACTTGTGCTCCATGTATTCCAAATGAGTGTCTGGATACTGATGCTTGTGGATTAGTGTAATGGCTAATAATATTCATGAATCATGCTATGTAATAAAGTTAACAACAGTGAGGTTAAAGATAAGAATTATGATTCCTACAGTCCAAAAAGGGTAGTCTGAATAAGAAAATCAGCTAATCGGACAACGTTAACTTGCAAAAAGACAGTAGTTGCAAGACTACAAAGCTGAAATAAACTTGCTGTTGCTTGATCTTATTAACATTCTTGAATTCTCCACCTCACTTCTGAAAATATATCCAATAGTTGACTAATTTGAGGCCATGATACAAGTACAGAGCCACAGTGATGCAAATAAGAGCATTTGTGAATATAAATATCCATAAAATATGAATTATTTTGGTTCAGCAGAGACTTTTCTTACTTAAATTCAATTTTCAGTCTGCCACACCCAAATTTCCGGACCTCCTTCTTGCTCCTCATGCCTAAAGTCACACTCTCCACTTACCGCACTGGCCTTCGTAGAGCTTCTTCATGGAGTAGCCCAGAGGTCTGCTAAGAACGCATTTGTGGTCCATGTATTCATCTTTATGATAGTAAAGCTTTTCTTGTTGGTGGACTTCAAGTTCGATAGCACGCAAAGACTCCATTTCCAATTGACTGAGATTAATTATTTCAATTTTATTTAAGTATTTTGGGGTTTTGGGGTTTTGGGGTTTTGGGG